TTGGTATTGAGTACAAAATCTGCCATCATGGTAAAACCTTGGAACCAAATGTTGTGTTTGAAGCTGTATGATTGGTATTGTGTGAGCATTGTGAATGCATTGGTGTCATCATAATATAATATTAGAACCAACCTTTTGATGTTCAGCGTAAGGTAGTATTTGAACTTGGGTCTACTGATCATGAGCCTGATGCGACAACCACTATGCTACAAGCGACCAGTTCTCTGACACTGTTGTTACTAGGATATAACATTAGAACTGTATGTTCATGAAGCTGTGTGGTGTGCATATTTGCGCCATCGTGATATAGGATATTAGGACTAAATGAGATGATATTATGTGATTGATATTATGTACACATTGTGTATGAACTCGTGTGATTGGTACTGTGTTAACAATGGTACTATAATGACATAACATTAGAACCATATGTCGTGCATAAAGCTGTGAGATTGGTATTGTGTTCCTATAGGTCACCATGATATAGCATCAGAACGAAATGATGCTACGTGACTGGTATTGTGTACACAACATGGCATCATAATATAATTTTAGAAAAAAATGTCGTGCATGATGTGTGATTGTTATTGTGTGCACATTGTACCACCATGATAAAACATTAGAACCAAATGTTATGAATGAAGGTGTGAAAGTTGTACAGTTTTTACCATCACGATAGAACATTGTAACCAAATGTCGGACATGAAGTTATGTGATTGGTATTGTGTGCACACTGTGTCATTACAATATTGAAGCAAAATTTCATGTATATAAATGAGTATCGTGTAAATGTATTGTGTGTAAAATATGCCATTTTGTATAACATTAGAACAAAATGTATGAAGGTGTGTGTACACATTGACCATAATGATATAACTTTAAAACCAAATATAGTGCATGAAGCTATGTGATTGATATTGTTAACGCATTGTGCCATTAGGATATAACATTTGAAATAAAGATCGTTTATCAAAACGTGTTATGGATATTGTATACTCGTGATATGAGAACCAAATATCGTGCATGAAGCTGCGTGATAGGTATTGTGTACATATATGTATGACAGATATTGTGCCATCTTGATATACCGAGAACGAGATGTCGTTGGTGATGCTGTATGATTTGATGTGTGTAATCTTTGGTTCTATCACCTCGTAACTTTGTACCTTAATGTAATGTATGACCCGGTTTGGTTGATCCTGTATTGGATATCGCCTGACAACATTTCGTGTACGAATGTGGATGATTGGTATTGTTTAAATGTTGGTTTTAGGATCTTATATTATTAGAGTCAAATGTCGTATATGTGAAGCTGTTTAATTAATAGTGTGTTGATCGACATTTGCATATTTCCTTATAATGTTAGATCCGACGTCTTGCATGAAACTATATGATTACCATTGTGTGCGCATTGGCGTGTATATTCGTATAATATTAGATTAAATGTTGTGTATGGAACCGTAAGATTTGCATTGTTCCCATTGTCGTATATTACATCCAACGTCGTGGATGAAGTTGTGTTATGGGTTTTCTGCACAAAAGCTGTTTTGCAAAGACAACCCTGTGTGAGATAGTAGATTTTTGCATATGGACGCCGCCTTGTTTTGTGAAGTAAGTGGTATCCATGATACTATTAACATGGTGGTATATACGTATGTCAGCTTTCATTCAACACTAGCATTGTAGCGATTGTGAACAAATTCTATTCCCTATTCTGTGCATATACAAGTTGTAATAAAAGGTAAACATGTATCAGTCGTAAGTTACATATACTTCAACTGCCCTTTTACATTGGCCTCTTGAAAAAAGGTATTAACCTACCCTCTGTACAAGTGGTATAACCCCGTCTTTGTTTAGAGGAGGTAAAAGACCAGGTGTGGACTGCATCAAATAACCGGCGAGGGGGATAGTAGGTTGAACTGTGTGAAGTTCAACGCTTGAGCTCGGAGGTCGGACTATTGTGAGCCAGACAGGCGTGGACTATGACAGAACAAAGGTGTTGTAAACACACGCAGTGGAAACAGTTGATAACGTCATTAATAATATGCCCCACTGAATGCTGAGCCCAAACAATGATTTGTAAAACTAGGCTGATTATATTACAATCTCATTGCATAAACAGCATGGCCTAACAACATGCCGAGTATGGGTTTATGGCACACACTCGATATTCAGGTTAAACGTGCTTGTATTATGCATCTCCTAATTATTGAAACAAAGAGTATTGTGGGGGAAATCATAGTACATATTTATTTGAAACTTGAGTATATTGTCTTGTGTTTACCTTATTCACCACAATAAGCCCAGGCACGCTTTGCCTACAGTGTTAGTGAACTTTGATGGCGAAATAAGATAAAATTGCCCCAGTCGCAATTTTCTAGGTCGTTAAACGTCAAAATCAAATGTGTTTTTGAAATGTGGTTTATCATAATGCTGAATATAAAGAGATGTTGATGTAAGTAAACGATGTTTTGATGCATTTTATTGTAATCTACCATTAAGATTCTCGAGTTAGGTCGAGCTGTCTATAATGGAAATATCTTGTT